CATGGAAAAATCCCTATTAAGTTGCATTATACTGGTTTACATGGAAAAAACCCTATTAAGTTGCATTATACTGGTTTACATGTAAAAAAAAACCCTATTAAGTTGCATTATACTGGTTTACATGTAAAAATCCCTATTAAGTTGCATTATACTGGTTTACATGGAAAAATCCCTATTAAGTTGCATTATACTGGTTTACATGAAAAAACCCTATTAAGTTGCATTATACTGGTTTTACATGGAAAAATCCCTATTAAGTTGCATTATACTGGTTTTACATGGAAAAATCCCTATTAAGTTGCATTATACTGGTTTACATGGAAAAAACCCCATTAAGTTGCATTATACTGGTTTACATGTAAAAACCCCTATTAAGTTGCATTATACTGGTTTACATGGAAAAATCCCTATTAAGTTGCATTATACTGGTTTACATGAAAAAAACCCTATTAAGTTGCATTATACTGGTTTACATGGAAAAATCCCTATTAGTTGCATTATACTGGTTTACATGTAAAAATCCCTATTAAGTTGCATTATACTGGTTTACATGGAAAAAACCCTATTAAGTTGCATTATACTGGTTTACATGTAAAAAACCCTATTAAGTTGCATTATACTGGTTTACATGGAAAAATCCCTATTAAGTTGCATTATACTGGTTTACATGGAAAAATCCCTATTAAGTTGCATTATACTGGTTTACATGGAAAAAACCCTATTAAGTTGCATTATACTGGTTTACATGGAAAAAAAACCCTATTAAGTTGCATTATACTGGTTTACATGAAAAAACCCTATTAAGTTGCATTATACGGTTTACATGGAAAAATCCCTATTAAGTTGCATTATACTGGTTTACATGGAAAAATCCCCTATTAAGTTGCATTATACTGGTTTACATGAAAAAAACCCTATTAAGTTGCATTATACTGGTTTACATGGAAAAATCCCTATTAAGTTGCATTATACTGGTTTACATGGAAAAATCCCTATTAAGTTGCATTATACTCGTTTACATGGAAAAAACCCTATTAAGTTGCATTATACTGGTTTACATGTAAAAACCCCTATTAAGTTGCATTATACTGGTTTACATGGAAAAATCCCCATTAAGTTGCATTATACTGGTTTACATGTAAAAACCCTATTAAGTTGCATTATACTGGTTTACATGGAAAAATCCCTATTAAGTTGCATTATGCTGGTTTACATGTAAAAATCCCTATTAAGTTGCATTATACTGGTTTACATGTAAAAACCCCTATTAAGTTCCATTATACTGGTTTACATGTAAAAACCCCTATTAAGTTCCATTATACTGGTTTACATGTAAAAAACCCTATTAAGTTCCATTATACTGGTTTACATGTAAAAAACCCCTATTAAGTTGCATTATACTGGTTTACATGTAAAAACCCCTATTAAGTTGCATTATACTGGTTTACATGGAAAAATCCCCATTAAGTTGCATTATACTGGTTTACATGGAAAAAACCCTATTAAGTTCCATTATACTGGTTTACATGGAAAAATCCCTATTAAGTTGCATTATACTGGTTTACATGGAAAAAACCCTATTAAGTTGCATTATACTGGTTTACATGTAAAAACCCCTATTAAGTTGCATTATACTGGTTTACATGGAAAAATCCCTATTAGGTTGCATGATTACACTGAAGTCCTTGAAACTGCTGAAGTCCTTGAAACTGTTGAAGTCCTTGAAACTGTTGAAGTCCTTGAAACTCTTGAAACCTTGAAACTGCTGAAGTCCTTGAAACTGTTGAATCATTGAAACTGTTGAATCATTGAAACTGTAGAAATGTCTGAAAGAGCTGAAGTCCTATTAAAATGCATGGGCCTATTAAAATGCATTGCAGAATTCTCAATGCAAATTAATGGCAGAATTCCCAAGCCCGTAGAAAAAAACTGGAAAACTGCAGAACTCTAATTGATTGACTGCGGAACCTTCCGCAGTCAACCTTTGGTTTTGGTTTTCTATATTCCGTCTTTTTCCTGATTTTTGACACGTTTCACAGCTTTCACATTTTCAACAATTTCCACAAGTTATACATCAAAACGTTCCACATGTTTGGGAGATTATTGCTATTACTTTTGGGACTTCAGCGATTTCCGGTTTTTCCGCAATCGGACAAAAATCGGTCGATTTTTCCCATTGACTTATAATGGGGCTTCCACAAATTCATAGTTTTCAGAATTTTCTTCAACATTTTCAGCATTTTCTGCAGTTTGTGCATGTTCAGCTTCCACAACTTGTGACTTTTCAGAAAAAAATAGAGTTCTGCAGTTTTCCAGTTTTTTTCTACGGGACTTGGGAATTCTGCCATTAATTTGCATTGAGAATTCTGCAATGCATTTTAATAGGCCCATGCATTTTAATAGGACTTCAGCTCTTTCAGACATTTCTACAGTTTCAATGATTCAACAGTTTCAATGATTCAACAGTTTCAATGATTCAACAGTTTCAATGATTCAACAGTTTCAAGGACTTCAGCAGTTTCAAGGTTTCAAGAGTTTCAAGGACTTCAACAGTTTCAAGGACTTCAGTGTAATCATGCAACCTAATAGGGATTTTTCCATGTAAACCAGTATAATGCAACTTAATAGGGGTTTTTTCATGTAAACCAGTATAATGCAACTTAATGGGGATTTTTCCATGTAAACCAGTATAATGCAACTTAATAGGGGTTTTTACACGTAAACCAGTATAATGCAACTTAATAGGGTTTTTTCCATGTAAACCAGTATAATGCAACTTAATAGGGATTTTTCCATGTAAACCAGTATAATGCAACTTAATAGGGATTTTTCCATGTAAACCAGTATAATGCAACTTAATAGGGTTTTTTTCATGTAAACCAGTATAATGCCACTTAATAGGGTTTTTTTCATGTAAACCAGTATAATGCAACTTAATGGGGATTTTTCCATGTAAACCAGTATAATGCAACTTAATATGGGTTTTTACATGTAAACCAGTATAATGCAACTTAATAGGGTTTTTTTTTTACATGTAAACCAGTATAATGGAACTTAATAGGGTTTTTTACATGTAAACCAGTATAATGGAACTTAATAGGGGTTTTTACATGTAAACCAGTATAATGGAACTTAATAGGGGTTTTTACATGTAAACCAGTATAATGCAACTTAATAGGGATTTTTACATGTAAACCAGTATAATGCAACTTAATAGGGATTTTTCCATGTAAACCAGTATAATGCAACTTAATAGGGTTTTTTACATGTAAACCAGTATAATGCAACTTAATGGGGATTTTTCCATGTAAACCAGTATAATGCAACTTAATAGGGGTTTTTACATGTAAACCAGTATAAAGGATAACAGTTTAAAGGATATCAGGAGCTTCAAATACTTCAGGAGTTTCAAAGATGTTTAAAGTATTTTAACAGTTTCAAGGATTTCAAGGATTTTTCAGCTAAATTCCACATTAGATCTGTTCCGCAGTCAATCGCAATGGCTTCAGCCATTGCAAGTTTCTAGTTATGATTGCTCAACTATTTACTACATATTTACGAATATAACATTTTTGATTGACTGCGGAACCTTCCGCAGTCAACCATTGGTTTTCACGTTCTTTATTATTATTCCGTCTTTTTCCTGATTTTTGACACGTTTCACAGCTTTCACATTTTCAACAATTTCCACAAGTTATACATCAAAACGTTCCACATGTTTGGGAGATTATTGCTATTACTTTTGGGACTTCAGCGATTTCCGGTTTTTCCGCAATCGGACAAAAATCGGTCGATTTTTCCCATTGACTTATAATGGGGCTTCCACAAATTCATAGTTTTCAGAATTTTCTTCAACATTTTCAGCATTTTCTGCAGTTTGTGCATGTTCAGCTTCCACAACTTGTGAGTTTTCAGAAAAAACTAGAAACCGTTGCAATGGCTGAAGCCATTGCGATTGACTGCGGAACAGATCTAATGTGGAATTTAGCTGAAAAATCCTTGAAATCCTTGAAACTGTTAAAATACTTTAAACATCTTTGAAACTCCTGAAGTATTTGAAGCTCCTGATATCCTTTAAACTGTTATCCTTTATACTGGTTTACATGTAAAAACCCCTATTAAGTTGCATTATACTGGTTTACATGGAAAAATCCCCATTAAGTTGCATTATACTGGTTTACATGTAAAAAACCCTATTAAGTTGCATTATACTGGTTTACATGGAAAAATCCCTATTAAGTTGCATTATACTGGTTTACATGTAAAAATCCCTATTAAGTTGCATTATACTGGTTTACATGTAAAAACCCCTATTAAGTTTCATTATACTGGTTTACATGGAAAAATCCCTATTAAGTTGCATTATACTGGTTTACATGGAAAAATCCCTATTAAGTTGCATTATACTGGTTTACATGGAAAAATCCCTATTAAGTTGCATTAATACTGGTTTACATGTAAAAACCCCTATTAAGTTGCATTATACTGGTTTACATGGAAAAATCCCCATTAAGTTGCATTATACTGGTTTACATGAAAAAAACCCTATTAAGTGGCATTATACTGGTTTACATGAAAAAACCCTATTAAGTTGCATTATACTGGTTTACATGGAAAAATCCCTATTAAGTTGCATTATACTGGTTTACATGGAAAATCCCTATTAAGTTGCATTATACTGCTTGATGTTTGAAGCCTGAAATGTGGCAAAATGTTGAAAGGTTCAAGGGGGCCGAATACTTTCGCAAGGCACTGTACGTCTCAAGTGAATTATTCAATTGTTTTATTTTATCTGTTAGAATGTCAGCTTCTCTAAAACTTTTTCTGTGTAAAATATTGATGAAATATCACATATCTGTGTTCTAAAAAACTTAATGATTAATTGACAAAATAATTTATCAAATTAATCAGCCAAAAATAATGATTATTTGTAGCCCAAGGTTTTTGTTTTGTATTGAAAATTTTGTTAGACCGCAGCTCATAATGTTCCGTTGTTGCAGATTGCAGGTTTCATCAATGCCTTCAACCCGTTTACTGATGACAAGGAGAACCTGACGGCGTTCCGCTTCTACGCCCTGAACCCCATCGTGGACCCCTGGATCTTCATCATCTGCCGCAAGTCTGTGATGCGTCACCTGTGCTCTCTGCTCAGCTGCCGCTTCAGTAAAGGGGCAGTGAAGACCCCTGCCCACTGTGCACTCTCGCTCCCCCTGGAGGTCCACCACATCCAGCGCAGTCCGGTGAACAGTACCCCAGTTTACAGCACTTCTCCACAGGCCCCGCGGCCCCGAGCCACCCCTGTGACGAGTGGACACAGGGAAGGGCAGTTGTATAGACTCCAAACGTAACTGAAGGCATCACAGCTCTGACTGGGCTTTGATTATCAAAAAGGGTTTTCGACCAAACATGTTGTCCTTTCCTTTCACACTGATATATATAATATATATATATATATATATATATATATATATATATATATATATATATATATATATATATATATATATATATATATATATATATATATATATATATAATATATTGCACATATTATGAAATAAGAATTTTGAATGACCATCAATAAACAACAAAATAATACACATTGCTAGTGCAACAACAGCTATGGTCGCGGTTACGTCCCCATGAGCCGCGATATATTTTCTTAAAGTCTTAAATAGCCTTATACTGGTTAAAACATTTTTTTTTATACATGCAGGTAATTAAAATAACTGTCTCCATTTAATGAACAGTCATATTCCTATGGGAATATCAATCAATCAATCAATCAAAGTTTATTTGTAGAGCGCCTTTCATGCACAGGGCAACACAAAGCGCTTCACAGTCCACATCACAAATCATCACATAAAACAAACACCAGAATCACAATTAAAACATTAAAATCACACAAAAAATTAAAACACAATAAAAACAATAAAATCACACAAAAGAATAAAACCATTAACACTTTCAAAGTTACACAAGAAATTTAAAAAAATAAATAAATAAATGACAGCAGTGCATTACAAATGGAGATAAAATCCTTCAGTTGTATGCACAGGCAAACAGAACAGTCTTTAACCTGGATTTAAACATTGACAGAGTAGACGCCTCCCTCACATTTTCAGGGAGATTGTTCCAGATCTTAGCTGCATAGATCTGAAACGCAGCCTCCCCATGTTTGGTTCTCACTCTGGGCACCAGCAGGAGGCCAGTCCCTGTGCTCCTCAGAGTCCGGGCTGGTTCATATGACACCAACATGTCACTAATGTATTCTGGTGCAAGGCCATGGAGAGACTTGTACACAAGCAGAGCTGTTTTAAAATCTATTCTTTGAGCCACAGGAAGCCAGTGCAGAGACCTGAGGACCGGACTAATATGGTCATACTTCCTGGTTCCTGTCAGGACTCTAGCTGCTGCATTTTGGATGTACTGCAGCTGCTTACAAGTCTGTTTGGACAGACCTGTAAGCAGGCCATTGCAGTAGTCTAGCCTGCTGGAGACAAATGCGTGGACAAGAATCTCCAAGTCTGCCCTGGACACTATATTTCTGACTTTGGCAATGTTCTTCAGATGGTAAAAAGCTGTTGATGTTATTGATTTTATGTGGCTATTGAAATTTAGGTCTGAGTCCAGTATTACCCCCAAATTTCTGACCTTGTCTGAAGGAAGTAGGGAGAGAGACTGAAGTTGACAGATGACGCCCTCTCTTTGTTTCTGGGGACCAAAGACAATGATTTCGGTTTTGTCTGCATTTAGCTGGAGGAAATTATTTTGCATCCACTCACTGATCTGTTGGATACAGTGAAGGAGCAAATCCAGTGGTCCATGTTCTCCTGCAGTCAGTGAGACATAGATCTGAGTGTCGTCGGCGTAATTGTGGTAGGACACTTTGTTTCTTTGTATTAACTGACCTAACGGCAGCATGTAGAGATTAAATAGGAGAGGTCCCAGGATCGACCCCTGTGGTACTCCACAGGTCAGGGCCACATGATCTGAGACGCAGTCTCCAATCTCCACAAAGTACTTCCTATCCTCCAGGTAAGACCTAAACCAGTCTAGGGCTGTGCCAGTGACACCAACCCAGTCCTCCAGTCTCTGCATGAGGATCTCATGGTCGACAGTGTCGAACGCGGCACTAAGATCTAACATGACCAAAACTGTGACTTTACCTGCATCAGTGTGAAGTCGAATGTCGTTTGTTACCTTCACTAGAGCGGTCTCAGTGCTGTGGTGGGGTCTAAACCCAGACTGGAACATATCAAAAGAATTATTCATTGTTAAAAATTCAGTAAGTTGTTGGGAGGCCACTTTTTCAAGAATTTTTCCAATGAATGGCAGATTCGATATGGGGCGATAATTTTGAAGTCCCGCAGGATCCAGACTGCTCTTTTTTAGGAGAGGTCTTATGACTGCTGTTTTTAGGGCCATAGGAAATGTTCCTGACGACAGAGACATGTTTACTATTTGTGTCAGTGAAGGTAACAAACTGCTCAGGACGGACTTCAAAAAATATAAATTCATTTTATTTTTTTCTCCTGCCACAGCGATCTAACTTGTTAGTCATTTGCCTTTGTAAACTGTTGTATTAGCATATTTCAGACGTATCTATATAATGTTGTTTTATAATGTGGTGCGTGCAGCCGTGACATGAGTAAAGACCTCTTAGCCTTTTTATTTTGGATCCACTGACACTGACATGCAGGCACAGGTACATTGTATTCAGAACTCGTCCATTATAGTACCATTTCCTCTGGTCCTGTACAGCGCAGAGACTGCAGATGCCTCTTCTTTAACCTGTCTTTCAACTCTAAATAACACACCTCGAGTCGCCTTCAAACTGTTGACACGGGTTGACTCAGCATTTGAACACAGGTCTACAAACGTGGTTCTGCAAGTTTGAAAATGTTTAATGAAAAATGATTGCACTTAATACTTTGCATGTGATACGACAGCAGGCAAAGCAAAACAAAGGAGCCAAAGAAAAAGTGCTGAAACTATAGCTGTGAAAATGTGGTAAATGTGGTTTATGAATATTCTGTAATTACATTGATTTCATTGTATGCATGAATGTCTATGTGTGATGCCCCTGTGCTTTACCATTTCAATAGAAGTATTTGGTCAGTGCACATTCTAATTTATTACCAAAATGTATGTAATTGAGCATGGGAAAAATAGTTATGGTTTCTTTCAGATATTCTTTGTTTGTACCCAGAATAGATATACATATTTTAGCACGTTTTTGCATGAATGTATGACTAAACAGGCACTTGTGTTGTCTAATCTTAGAATGTATTGGTCATCCATAGAATCTAAATATCAAAATGAATGAATGGTATGGCTTAAATAATGCTGCTGCAAAATGCACTGTGAGAAATTGTCACTTTAATGTATTTGTGTAAAAGCTTTGACATGTCTATGTTTTCTGAATACATGTGTTTATTACAGTGTAAACCGGTTATTTTTCTTTAAACTGACGGTAAAGGCCTTTCACAGGAGCTTGTGCTCACACTACTTCGAGCTACAACTTTACTGCCCACATGTGGTCATTTGATGGAATAAACAACACAACTAGACTAATAAAGCGACAAATAAAGGTTTATCTTATCTTAATAATGGGCTCAAAATGTGAGGCTGCACGGTTGTGGCAAAATATCTGATTGCGGTATTTCAACACATACTCAATGTATGTTTAAAAAGTTATACCTTTTGTTCTGAGTCAAAATAACTTCATGAGTTGCTCTTAAAGAAGCAGGAATAACATTAAGTGCAATTAACCATTACAATCTGGAAAAACTCGAGACAAAGAAGCATTAAAATTATCTTTATTGAGCCTGAATGTAGCTGTGATTAAGTATCTAAGATCTGGCAGACACATGATGTGGTCCTATGCATTTGAAACAAGATTAATGAGATTTGGTTAGATTCCAGCAGATACAGTGGGGCAAAAAAGTATTTAGTCAGCCACCAATTGTGCAAGTTCTCCCACTTAAAATGATGATGTAATTTTCATCATAGGTACACTTCAACTGTGAGAGACAGAATGTGAAAAAAAATATCCAGGAATTCACATTGTAGGATTCTTTAAGAATTTATTTGTAAATTATGGTGGAAAATAAGTATTTGGTCAATAACACAAATTCAAGTCAATGGAAGGAGGTTTTGGCTCAAAAATCTCACGATACATGGCCCCATTCAATCTTTCCTTAACACGGATCAGTCGTCCTGTCCCCTTAGCAGAAAAAAAGCCCCAAAGCATAATGTTTCCACCCCCATGCTTCACAGTAGGTATGGTGTTCTTGGGATGCAACTCTTTCTCCAAACACGACGAGTTGAGTTTATACCAAACAGTTGTACTTTGGTTTCATCTGACCACATGCCATTCTCCCAATCCTCTGCTGTATCATCCATGTGCTCTCTGGCAAACTTCAGACGGGCCTGGACATGCACTGGCTTCAGCAGGGGGACACGTCTGGCACTGCAGGATTTGATTCCCTGTCGTCGTAGTGTGTTACTGATGGTAACCATTGTTACTTTGGTCCCAGCTCTCTGCAGGTCATTCACCAGGTCCCCCATGTTGTTCTGGGATATTTGATCACCGTTCTCATGATCATTTTGACCCCACGGGATGAGATCTTGCGTGGAGCCCCAGATCGAGTGAGATTATCAGTGGTTGAAATATCGTTTTGTGCTACATTTGGGCTATCTTTTATACAGATAATGAGTTCAAACAGGTGCCATTAATACAGGTAACGAGTGGAGGACAGAAGAGCTTCTTAAAGAAGAAGTTACAGGTCTGTGAGAGCCAGAGAGCTTCCTTGTTTGAAGTGACCAAGCTCATTTTCCGCCATAATTTACAAATAAATTCTTAAAAAATCCTACAATGTGAATTCCTGGATTTTTCTTTTCACATTCTGTCTCTCACAGTTGAAGTGAACCTATGATGAAAATCACAGACCTCTGTCATTATTTCAAGTGGGAGAACTTGCACTATCGGTGGCTGACTAAATACTTTTTTTCCCCACTGTATATTGAATGACGTACAATAGAGATTATGAGCGTGCTAACTCCCCAAAGGGTCTAGATCCTGGTGGTGCTGGAGGCAACGTGACAATCCTCCACTGAAGAGGCGGCGGTGAGGAGGTCCTCATCACCTCAAATTACAAAAGTCCACTTCTGTAATTTAACTTAATGTGAAACTAATATATGATGGAATACTTTGAAAATGGTCTGTCAAAATCAAACCAGTTGTCTTTGCAGAGGATTTTTTTTATTTTTACTCTGAAAAAATCTATTCCAGTTGTATAGAATAGCTTCACCTGTACATCAAAGTTTTCTCACAAAATTCTTAGTCAGACCTGGGTTTTGACAATTTATATAAAATATGAAAAAATATGAGAAGTCTTTTGGCAGACTAAATAAACTTGCTTGTTTCATTGACAAAAAAAATCTCAAATAAAGTTAAATGTTTTTTCTCATTTTTAGCCCCCCTTATGACTGCAATAAAAGATTACAATTGTGCAGCCCTGGTGGTGGAAAACAAGATTTACACATTTGGTGCTGATAGGAGAGTTTAGAGTCTCCCAAACTTGTGCTTTACCAGAACAACAAATTACCTTACATTAAGAAAAAAACGTTAAAAAGATGAAAAAACTATGATGTCTTTAGTGTCATAATAATAAAGTTTATGAATACGCTCCAGCCTCAAACAGTTTTATAACAATGGCCTCATATGGCTGTAGCACTAAGTTGTTCAGAGATGTCGCCCCCAAGCGGTCCATCCCGGTACTGGCCACAAACACGCCGGCCTCTGGGAGACTGGGGAACCACACAGGGTCCAGGGTGTGGGGCTCAACTCCGATATTGAGCAGAATGAGGAAGTGGACACACCCCCACGAGCGCAGGAAAGCCAGGGCAGAAGGCCGAGGGGAGAAGGTGGAGTTTGAGCTGGGGAAGGGGAGGAAGCTGAAGGAGCCGTACAGAAGGGCCTCCTCTCGGGCCCTGGACTGACTGAGAGAGCTGAACAAGGCCTGAGCGACACGCCGAGACTTCTGTTTCTCCTTGGGCATGAAAAAGAGTCAGTCAGTTTCCAACACTTCAAATAACATGATAGAATATGAATATAACGTTATAATGTACGCACTAGGGAATCTGAATCAGCATCACTGTTCTTTCTGACCACAGCCAAGCTCAGAGCAATGTTCTGCAGAAACAAGGATATCCATGAGAATATGATTTGCAACACCACCAACGGAAATGTAGAATTGACATAAGGTATATAGTATTTCATCTCGGGCTGAGCCATCTGGTACAAAAATTATCAAGATTTTTTTTTTCCCTCATGTTGATCCATCTCGAACTGTGATTTCACTGTTTTTGTTATTTTTTTTCCCCATTTATTTTTTGTTTACAAATAGAAATGTTATATCTACTTGTGCACAGGGCTATACAAAAATAGATCGAATTAAACTTCACTTATTAAATTGTGCATATTTAGACCCACAATTGCAGTCTCTCGATTTTAATGCGAATGTCAACAAACTAAGAAAAGTTTTGATTTTATTAATGGTACAGCCCTAATTTAATCCTCTTATATTTCACACTCCCTGATATGCAGTTTGAAAAATGAAACACAAGAGCCCTACCTTTGTTTGGTCAACATCTGAATCGTCCTCCACAGCAGGTGACCCGGGCAGTGTCATCAGCAGTACCAGCAGAAGGTTCTTTAACTCATCTGATGCTCTACCACCAACCTGGACACACCACCACTTACTCTATATATGCACAGACTTATATGACACTTAAGAAAAAAACACCACTTTACCATCCAGCTGTTCCATATGCCACTGCTCTCTGCTCTGTACAGATGTGTCTCGATGGCACTTGAGACTTCCTGCCCAGACAGAATGTGTGGCAACACGGGCAGGATGGATTTAATGACCACATCTACCAGTGAAGTGTTCACGTTTGAGGATTTTAGGGGAATCAAGGTATCTCTTCTTTGTTTGACTAAAATTATGCTGCAATAACAGAACAGAGGTTATAGGTTGTGTTCATGTTCTAGAATTATATTTCAGTGGGTTAATTGCTAGTGATGACATTCAGAAATCCCCCATATTATTCCTACTGACCAACATCATAAATACAGTAAATATTTGATTGAATATTCTAGACTTTATGAGAACATATTTTTTTAAACATAGTATTATATGCAACAACAACGTGACTTTCTTTCATGTCGATTGACCCATGAATTAGCTCAGAAGTTTAACTTTGAGTGTCCAAAAAGCGCTACATAAAACCGACGCATTATCATTAAACTATAGTGTTTTTTAATGTTGTGATATCACATGAATGCAGCCCATTATAAATTTCAACCTTTGTCTTTTTATGCTTTACCTTTCAACCCCTGCATTAAATTCTTTGAGAATAACTCTCCATTCTTCTAGAGTCTGGAATAAAAAACTTGGTTTTAGAATGATTAAAAGTACAATGAATGGACTACATTTTACCTTCTCAGAATATGCGTCGTCAGTGTCACAGATGGTAAACCCTGCTACTCCCTGAGCCAGCCAGAACCAAAGTGCATCCTTTGTGAAACATAAAAAAATAACCTTTACCATGTGCGATACAAAGCCTGAAGGAATTTTGTACTAAAATAGGCTTAATAAACCCTACATTACCTTCACTTTGGCCAAGGGGTTGGAGTTGTCCGTGCCCTTTCCTTCAGTCTGAGCTTCCACCAGGTCCACATCACAAAAGTCAATTACAACCTTTAGATCTGTCAGAGGAAACAGTCAGTACAAAAAACACCAAATGCAGTCAGAAGTACCTTGTACCTGCTTTGTTGCCCTCCTGGATGAGGTATTGAATCATAGGAAATGTTGTAGAGCCTTTGACGATGGCTGTGATGTTCACCTCTGTCCCAAACAGCCCCTCCAAGATCAGTGCTCCCACTCCCAGAGACCGGAGGTAAGACAGCTTCTCATGCAAGGCTAGATAAGAGAAGATGGTTCACACATCACTACCACATTTTATAACTTCAAATACATTTTTGTAAGACCAAGCTTAATAATAATAATAATCATCATAAAATTGATAATTGAAGCCGCAAGCGGCATCGAACGGACCTCGCCGCACATCGCTAAGGAGGTTGGCACTGACGTGCCATCTTCCTCCAGCCCTGACAGGAGAAACACTGTGTATTGTAAAGTCTTTGTATCACTCTGTGGAAAGAGCAAATGCTACAATGTTTTTCACTTTCAGCTGACCCAGATCCAAGAGTTGAGCAACCGATTCACCTTTGGTGCTAATCGAGTAAACCGGGTTAGGCAAATCCGTGAAACAACTGAGGTTGGTTCGTTTTGTAATATAATGTTACCTCCTCATGACATGTATACCTTTACCTCACTCTCTAGGGGGCGCTGACGCTGAAATTTCATTTTTTTCACATCTAGGTGACGTAGACCCACGAACCAATTTAAGTTTGGTCCGAATCGAACTTTTCTATGCGTAAACATGAGAACATTTGAAATGGTCAAATTTGGGGGAAAAAGTCAAAATTTGCTCCTCCATTGCTTGCACACCGTATAACCTATCAAAAATATGTTGCTAACTTTTGATCCTACGTGTGTGTAGAAGATGTGGAGCTATTTTGTGCCAAATCTGTGAAACGACCGGTCGCAGAGTAGTTATTCAAACGATGTCTAAATTGGGCTCAGTCTCTAGGGGGCGCTAATGCTACAATTTAATTTAATTCACAGCCAGGTGATGTAGATTCAGGAGTTGTACAACCGAATGTGTGCAAATGGGCCCAAAAGATGCACGCAATCTTATAGCTATAGCATCCAACAGCATTTTGGTGAGTTACTGGCACTCTTGCAGTCACCTTACGTTCTTACGCTCTCAATAAATAAATCCTGTATAAATAATCCCTCGTGGTCACCGTATTAAAATCCATGGCAGTAACTTGTTGTTGTGCCACGTCTATGAACTCACCACTGGTCTTCCCAGAGCCCTCCAGCGCAGCCTCCATCTGTAGCTGTGGCTGGAGTTGGTAGAACAGAGACTTCTGCCACCACTTCAGCGGCTGCGCCACGGGCTTCGGGGCCATTATGAGGATGGCGACGGCTGTGCCGAGAAGGGCCATCCAGGTGAACCAGAAAAGCAGCACCAGGTAAAAGCGAAACTTCCTCCAGCCCGGGCCCCCCGCCGCCTCCTCCAGCTGCTCCCGGGTCAGAGGCCGCCATCCTGCCCGCTCTCCCTCCTCCTGCTCGGGGATGAGCAGCGGCGCGGCCTCAGTGCTGTGCTCCGCACCAGAGACACTGTTGGAGAAGTACGGGGCGGACAGACTGCCATAGCCCGGCCCGGTGTTCAGAGTCATGTCGCGGCCTGCGCACATTGAGCATGTAGGTACATGATATATCAGCCTTAGAACAAAACTAACATTCACCAAAGTCATACAGTTCAAATCATCTGTACAAGCCACTTTTAACACGTCTCTCAGTCTCTGGGTTCTAATAGTTTAAACTAACTTTGGAGCCCAAACTGAACTTGGAATGGGTTTAAAACATTTACTGAAGAATGTGATCAGCAATGACTTGGCGCATATGTTTCTGTTGTAGGCCTACAATATATTGTATAGGTGGTTTAGTTGTTGTAAAAGCTGGGGCTCCCCTCTTCCAAATGTCACTCAATTACGGCAGGGTCCCAGACTTGTGAAACAAAATCCATCATTGTCCCAAAAGTCAGCTGCCCAACATCTAACAAAGATTATAGACCAGTTGCGCTAACCTGCATTACGTTGAAATGCTTGGAAAAGATCACGTAAAAAATTTATAGTTGGATGTTGCTCCCTCTTTTGATCCACTTCAGTTTGTCTATCAGCAGAGACAGAGCACAGCTGATGCGGCTGCCTGGATGTCTCACCTCATCCTCAAACATTTAGAGACCAGGTGCTTATGTGGGTCCTGTTTTGCAGATTGCAGTTCAGCTTTTGACACAGTATAGCCGGACACACTGGTCAAAAAGCTGATGGACATTTTAGTTGAGTGGTTTCTTTTCCTCCTGACAGGAAGATCACAGCAAGTCAGGCTGAATGGAATTCTCTCCACATCAAATACGTGTAGCACTGGTGTGCCTCACATTGTGAATAACACCAGAGCTCTCTGGTGTTATTCACAGATTACACCAATGACTGCAAAACTGACCCCCCTAAAAACAGCGTCATCAAGTTCTCAGACGACACGCAGTTGTGAGTCTGCTGACTGTGGGGGACTGTCCCTCAATACTTCAACGAGGTAGACACCTTCAAAGACTGGTGTGACAAGTAGAACCTGAACCTGAACACTGAAAAAGAAATTATCTTTGACTCAAAGACCAAGGTGCACATCTCTTTATTTAAAGATGGGGTGTAAATTGAGCGAGTGGACTCGATTAAGTATCTCGGCCTACACACGGACAGATATTTTGAATGGACTGTTGAGAAAGATGCCCTGTGCGCTAAACTGCACAGGGCATCCGCCAGATGACACTTTCTGAGTTGTTGCGGCTGTTCGGAGTGTGCACAAAAATAACGCTTATTTTCTGCAGCTCTATCTTTGAAAGTTGTCTGAGATACTGCATGGCAGTCTGCTTCAGAGCGCTCTCTGTAAAGGACAAATCCAAAATCCAGAGGCTGGTATAAATGGCAACAAAGATCATTGGAGCTGAAGTTCCCTCCCTCCAGCTGATCTACGAGCAGACCACACTCTCAAATGATGTCAATGACCCCTAACACGTCCTGCAGGGGGGATACCAGACCCTGCTCTCAGGACGTCGCTTTAGAGCTGCGAGACACAGGGCAAACCGCTTCAAGCTCTCCTTTATCCCAGCGTTAGTGGCACTTTTAAACAAAAATAGCTAATAATAATGAATGCACTCTAAAACTGCATGAACTATTTTTATTTGTTCATTTTTATTCTTTTCTTATCCAGGAGTTATTTATTTTGATGCTGAATTGACCGCACAGAGACTCTATGATTCATTTATGTAGATCTGCGTAGCACTGTATACTACATGAAATTGTCTTGTGAGACAATAAAGTTATCTTATTTTATGTTGTTTAAGCAACAACATAATTTCATTTATTTATTTGAACATAGGGACATTTACGCAACTCTAACAATAACATTATTGACTGAGATATTTTTTCAAACAGTCAACAGATCCAGAGGTGTGGATGGGAACAGGTGTTTTGAGGAACACTAAAGCCTCAAGCATGACAAAGTTGACACAAAACACAACTTTGGGAATGGAAATAACATAACAACATTGACATAATGTGCATGTAATTTAGAACAGAGACATAAATGATCTCACACACGGCTTAGTTGAATCTTCCCTTTGGAACAGATAATACATAAGGTGTTTCCCTCCAATGACAGAAGAGATGTGTCCAAATACAGCTGTCAGTGATGTCACTGACGAACCATTACTGCTGTTGTGTTAAGACTTTTGCACAATTCTGGAGAAACACAACTGTGCAAAAGTCTTAATATGTTTTTTAATATAATAGCTCAAGTCTCAACCATAATAAAACATGCAACTAAAGTTGAACTGACTATATTAAAACACTGTCTCCAAGTAAAATAAACATTATACTCACTCTTTCTATGTCGTCTTTGCTCAGGGCTGTCTGTGAGCTGCAAGTGGAGACGGCTGGAGCCTGAATATGCGCAGCTTGTGAGGAGTGGTGTCCTATAAAAACTCTGCAGAGTCAATTAATACAGAGGTGAGGATCTTACACATGCTCACCACACATTCTGCTGAACGTGTGACTGCAGGAGTGAGGCCTCTCCACTGTATGAAATATATTTGTATGCTTGGGATTCATTTATTTAGGGATGTTTGAGGTGTAAGTAAGTTTAAAGTTTAAAAGCCACAAGTTCCCATCAAGCATTTTGAATTATTTGAGCTTTCTTTCCAATAAAAAATAGAAGAAAGGGAGTCTTGAAATGTTTTAAGATATGGAGAAGTATTTCATTTAAGCCTGTATACCCCCAAGCTAGCTTAGTTTGTTCCTGCAGTCTTTTGGAGGGGAATAAAACCCAAAACTACTTCTTTCACGTATGACTCCTGAAGTATCAAACTCATTTTCAGAAGGAGTGCATGATAAAATAGAGAAATTCAGGAGCTAAAACTTTTTTGTTTCAGCTCCTTTTTCTTATTGTATCCACAATACTTAGAGGAGACTACTAATATCTGAAGCAGCGCTGTGTAGACTTCAAATAATTTAACAGTGATGCCAAACCAGTAACATCAGCATCTTTTTACCATCTAAAAACATTGTCAGAATCCTGCATTTGTCTCCAGTTTGTTGGACTAGTGTTTTTCAACCAGTGTGCAGTAGCATGTGAGTGTGCCTTTGGAAATAATTCAATACCTCCTAATCGGTCATTATAATGTGAAAAGAGAATTATGTGATTGCACTTGATTTTTTTATAATACTCTTTGAGAATGACTTATCGTTAGTGTATTTTGTTTCATCAGTTTCAGCAATAGTGACCTGCTCACTGCTCTCTCCAAATGAGCTGTAAAACAGATGCAGTAAATTCAAAAGGCAGCAGCATGAGTCCTGACTAGAACCAGGAAGTACGAGCACATCGGTCCTGGTCCCAGGTCTCTGCACTGGCTTCCTGCAGCTCAGAGAATAGACTTTAAAGCAAACGTTCATGTAGCATTTGGCTTCATTGTATCATGTGAACAAAATACATAAACTGTGTACATCAGAGTTGGATATTATTTTTCTGTTTTCTGTGTGCTTGATCACCTCACACGTTCACGCTAAAATTCCTGTGTCCTGATTAAATGAGGTATGTGCTGGTTAATTCCTGGAAGTGTGACTTTTGCGGCCCCTGCATATTTTGTGTTTGTCTCTTGCTGCCACATACTGTTGTGCATGTTTTTTCTCAGATGGCATGTCATTGCTATCTTTGCTTTTTGACAAATATGAGGTCCCAATTTCCCATGGCATGTGAGGAGCTCTGGATGATGAAAGGAAATTAACACTTTTTTCCCCCTGTCGGGAACTTTGTTCTTTGCATTTGACCCATCCTACAATGCCGCTAGGGCCTCTGTCAGGAGCAGTGGACGCTGCAGTACAGCGCCATGGACCCATCTCCAGATGTTGATGCTCGGCTTGGTCAGGACGACCAGAGCAGGAGGATTGATGATGCAGACAGAATCACTCGGGTTCATCTAATGCTTTATTATTGACTCAATTTGTGCAAGCTTTATGCATATCGTTGTTCTGCCAACATCTGTGATAAAGGCTTTATCTTGAGTCCTCTTCTGATCCCTCAACATCCTGAAAAGAAGGAAACCAGGCTTCATATGCAGCCATATTTTTATGTTCATCTTTATACATGTTATTGGCTTACCATTGGTTCTTGGTTTCTGGCACTCGTACTGTGTTTCTGATAGGCTGAAATGATACAATCACGCCTACAAAAATTTTTTTTTGGGTGTTTTAATAATTACAGTCTATGTGTTTTGTCTACAGTACTAGGATTTTCACATACTTGCTTGTAAGGCCGCCCCCTGGTGGAAGGCCAGGTATTTCCTCTGCAGCCAAGATTTTTATTACATACAATAGATCTGGATCTTCATCTTTTGATCTCATCATTTGTATTATTTCTGTGAAGTTGTAGATAGGGAGGAAATAAGGTTAGTAACCAAACATGAATATGAATGCAATGTTTTTATATCAACAGTGTTAAACAAACACTCAGACTGCCACACCTTCCACCTTCATGTCAATGTGTTGCTCCAGCTCTGTCTCTTTCTGCAGTGCATCCTGGGAAAGCTGTGGTGCTGCTGGGAAACAAACTATTATGATGCTCATGTTATCCAGGCTGCCCTGTAGAGAGAGACACAGAACAATTCAATATGGACTTTGTGTATATAGAAGTATGTGGTGTTTTAGTCTAACTGCTACTTTATTTTGCTACTATCATTATATTACATAAATAATTAAAACATTTCAAAGCCTAAAATAGGGAAGCATTCAGAATAAACCATCGTTTTGATCAGCACTCACATGTAATCATAATCTGGGCCATGTGTACATACATCTGTGTTGTCAAGACATCTATTTTTAGTTGGCCTGTGCGTAAGGGTTAAGATTGTACTAGCACGCATTATCTTCTTATGTAATGACCTCACAGTAATTCTACTCAGACAGTTCTCAGTGTCACCTGTCTGGCCGGTCCCTGTGCTTTGTATAAAAAACCCATTCAACATTTTCACACAGTTCTCTAACATGCAGATAGTGTGTAATATATTTTGCAAATATGTTTCTACAGGGAACTTCAAACTGTGTATATAAGAAATATATAAGATGTTCACTTTATTTTACCTTATAGAGGCAAAGGTCTATGACCTGGGTACAGATTTCTCGCAGATCATCGCACACTTTCAGACGGCTGCGCACAAAGGCACATAGCTCCTCATTCCCAATGGCGTCCCAGACACCATCACAAGCTAAAATCAAAAACTCGTCTTCAGGCCCCCTACCCATCTCATAGATCTCGGGCTCGGGTGAGACCAGCTGCTCTGTCTGAGGTCTCCAGTCCACCTCTTTAAAGTCAAAGTCTCCCAGAGCTCTGGACACTGCCAAAGAGCCATTCACCCGTTGTAGTGTCACTGAGCCTCCCGCATTCTGGATGCGCTCCTTTTCCCTGGGGTTGAATGGTTTGTGGTCCTCTGTGTAGAAGACGACCTGGCCGTCACGACACAGAAGGGTTCTGGAGTCTCCACAGTTGATGAAGTAAATGTACTCAGGAGAAAGCAAGACTGCTGCTGCAGTAGACCCGCTTCGATCCCAATTATCCTGGCGGGCCAACTTGTGCATGTGCTGATCAATGTCCAGAAAACCATTTCTGATTCCCTCCTTCACCTGCTCAGGGTCCTCAATCGCCTTAATCCCACCTAAAGAAGAATGAGAAAAAAATGATTAAGAGTGAATGCAACCATTTTCTTTCCTAAGAAATGGAAATGTATGGTTTAATTAAGATACCTGTTGCGATCATGCGGTCCAGCAGGTGTTTTGAGCAATACTGTGCGACTGTGGTGCCTGCGTGTCCATCAAAGACTGCAAAGTAGCCCCAGTTTATGAGCTCCCCGCTGAGCTGTGGCATGCAGGAGTGTGCGTCCTCCATCTGTGCTCTCCAGCCCTGCATACTGGCTCCAGCATAGTTGAGTCCAGACTGGGAGCTGCCCTCAAAGACGTGCTTCTCTAGGATGGGGTGTTCCAAGTATGGGCTGGGGTAACAGTCATCCTCGTCCTGACTGTCCTCTTCATCGGACCCTCGCTCTCTGGAGCCTCCCTTGAAGAAGAAGGTGACCATCTTCTCTGTCTCTTTCACCAGCTGGCGGAGGAAGGAAGGCACCTCCACGTTGCTGGCTCTTCTGGCTGTTCGCATGACTCCACGGAGTCTGTGCTCAAGTCTTCGGCTTGACCTGGTGGCTCCCCGTCTCCTCCGGATGCCCCTCCTCCGGTGATGGGTTTTCCTCAGCAGGTCCAGTGCAGCAGCTTATGTCTGACACTCCTATCATCAGGTGATAAACAGATTAATTCAAAAACTGTTGAATTTTTCTGTTTGTATTTATTATTCCTTGTTGTCTTTAATTAACAGCAGTACAGTAGTCTTATGCCCGTGCTCTTCAGACTGCTACTGAGAGGATTGTGGCTATTGGTCTATTTTTGACCATATGTACTTAAGTATTGGCCCCTCCCGGTTGCTCACATCACTAATGTGGTCTATAATCACTTGCCTTACAGCCATGTCTCATGACGTGCATGGATTAGGCTACATTTTACACTCTTTATAATTAGGTTTTCAGAAATAGTATCCAGTGTTTTTGTTTGGGGATATACATAATGAATTCCTCCTAGATGTTAGAAGATATCAATTATATGTTAGTGCATTGCTCATATACCTGACACACATATTATACTATTATATTATGTGTTGTTGTGATGTATCATGTGTTATTATGACACATGCGAATGTGTCATAAGCAGGTTTTCTGACTCAGTTGTTATAATCTTGTTAGGGCCATGTATTCAAGGAAAGTAACCCGGTTTACTTTGGAATCGTGTGGATGAGCAGTGTTAAGTGCTAATATATTAGCCAGAAGTAGATTAAACCTGTTAACAGCAGCTTTTGACTGACGCAAACAGTATACCTATCAAACTAGATATTAGTTAAGTTCATACATGTAAAAAGTAAGCTATACCTGGCCTGACTTTGATTATTTATCATTAACAAAAACACATCTAATATTACACATGTGCAGATGCATTCAGTATACTTGTCCAAATATTGTATGGATAAAATCTGATTTGATTATTTAATTTGCTCTCAATGTTATTCCCTGCACCGTCCATGTCCCAATACTTCACTAATGACTTTCCACTGTGTCTGCAAATGTGGTGCATTATTGATGATTCGAAAAGCCTATCCCTTTAAGATCCTCTGATGAAGTCACACAGTAAGGGGCAGGGCATGTGAGTTTTCCACATTCAGATTGGCTGTGAACATGACAACACCCTGTCCTCTGTGCAGCTGCTGTAGACCTTGTTGTGCAGCGTCCACTAGTGGAACGGCAGGCGGCAGCAGATGTAGGCAGTGGATGAGGAGAGATGAGTAAGGGAGGGGCGGCTGAATGATGGAGCAGGAGGCAGGAGGACCACAGGAAGTCTACAGCCTGTCCACTGGATGCAAAGAGCACCGGAGGAAAGTGAAGCTGGAGGGGGGCTTGCAGACTGACTGAGCCCAGAAATGCCTTGATGGAGCATGGGCCAGGTTTTAGGATTCTCTCAATGCCGTGAGTTGGCTCTGTTTCTCTCATAGTAATAGCTCAATGTCGAGTTATTCCACCTCAGCATCTTTCTGCTAACCTCTCAGAGCGGTGTGTGTGTGTGCTAGCTCTCCTGCTTTTCTGACTCTACTCTCGCCTGAACAGATGCAGATCCTGTTTTGTTTGTCATATACAAGTTTATTGTCACTGATTTGTTTCAAGTTGGTAGAGGAAGTATTCCATTTTAATTATTTCTATTCAACCTGATAATTTCCCTAGTTAAACAAGAACAAATGTTCAAATAAAATGTAGACCTATGGAACCAGAAGGCAGTGTGTACAGTAGCATGCTGCTAGTGGTATGCTAAGTGTCACCTCTTCTGGTTTGCTTGTACAGGCCTTGTGGTTGGCCATTTATATCCTTGAAGTACATTGGGACACGAGCTCTTCTGTTATTTAAAAATGGTTAATGGAGAGGATGATATAGTCCATGTAACGGCATGTTGTCATTGTCTTTCAGAGGAGTATGGATCAGTGGCTTCAACACCAGACTCGACCCCACCATGCACCGATGGTACGTCCTCACACACGGGTAACCCTTATCGTGTTCTCAGGTGTAATCAACAGGTGTAATCAACAGGTGTAATCCACAGGTGTAATCCACAGGTGTAATCCACAGGTGAAGACAACCGCATCACATCTTCCCTTGAACTGGAGTTATTTTTAGCTAGAGTCGTTGATTGTCGGATTGTATTACAATAGTGTAAGATGTGTCAACATGTCTACTCTTGGTCCGCAGGTGGGAATGAAGAGTCTGAACTGTGCGAGTTGCAGACTGCCCGGGAATGGTCAGAGGATGACGAGGGGGCAGACGGAGATGATGCAGATGGGTTGGCCTCTTCTCCATCTCTGTGGGGCACCCCTCGCCAACACTCGTATGAGCTAACATTCTCCTACATTGCCATCGCTGAGCCCGAGGCGGTGGGAGTGTCACGACACCTAAGAGAGCGGCGCAGAGGCGGCTCCAGGAGCAGCCGCACCACTCTGTTTCGCACCGACACACTGGAAACACTGTTGGACTCTCCTGATGTGGAGTGGGACTCTCAGGCATTCCTTACACAGGAGGGGCAAGAGGCAGCAGCAGCAACAGCAGCAACAGCAGCAGTAGAGACATGTCTAGAAACATCCCACGCAGAATGGACAAACTTCGAAAGAGAAAATTATGGACTATCAGAACAAAGTACAAGTCAACTCTATCAGTACCATGAAACTCAGGAGGAAGACGCAGGGTTTCAAAGGAACGAGACTTTCACTATCCACACCTCCACCCCCTCACATCACCCCTCACACACTCTACAGTGTAAGTTATCCTCATGCTGATGTCATAACATTAAGGTCACTTCAGGAATTTGGTTTTCTCCAAATGCTCCAGTGGTCTTACCCTAAAAGCAGACTCAGAGATCTAGACTCCCCTCAAAGTAAGATTGCTAAAATCTTTGAGGGGAGTATGACTATCAGAGTACAATAATTAATGAATATATACAGAATCATTTAATGATGAATTAATGCCAATTTTGTTAGCTTGCAACATGGAAGCTTTAGCCAATGAAGATAAAGAAGTCACAATGACAGTGACTCCATATTGTGTTTTTCAGCAGCAACATCGTCATCATCCCCGGAGACCGTGTCCCCAGTCTCCAGGGAAACCCTTTCAGTGAAGCGGCTCACATCTGTGCAGCTTCCAGCTGTTGCTGCAACGGGACTTAAATCTCAGGATCAGCTGGTCAGCGAGCACTGGTTCTCAGCACTGGACTTAGCTGAGGCTGATGTGGCCTGGACTCTCAGAGCAGGTATAGTACTGTGTCTTTAAACTGCCTCCATGGTTTGGCATCGGCCTATTGCTCGTCTTTCTGCAGGCTTTCAATGAGGCTGGTAATCAATACTGACAATATCAGATTTCCTCGAAATGGCAACATATATACACTTGCCATTGTCCTGTGCTTCCATAGTAACCTTATAAAATGCCTACGCAATTGTGGATTTGGTATTTTTGTCCTTGGGCAACTGTCTTTTTGGTTATGACCCATGTCTGACACGACTGGACTAATGCATACTGTCAATTCTATTGTATTTCAGTGGAGCTGGTATTTAAAAAAAAAAAGAAACAATTGATCAATGTGTGTCCAGGCTGATGACAGAGATCGAAGTGTCCAGAATAAATATCTCTCATTGGAGAATCATATTACATTTAGGGTCTGTGTACATTATGCTGACTCATGCCATGTGAAGGCATCCCAAAGTCCTCTACAAAGTTATGATAATCTAAACTACTTCACTAATTAAGAATCACAGAGAAATTATTGTCAGCGACATAATAGAGCAAAACAAGCAGTCATCATATTTGATTATAAACAAATAGAAACAATTTGAAGCTTCTCCTTAACATTAATAAAAAATACTATTTGATTTACTTCATATCACATGCGCATTGTCCATTGGACCACTCGGGTTTCGAAACAATACCTTTTAAAAGTGAATATTTGAAGAGGGTGGGTGGTGCTGTGGATGAGATTATTTCGGGCTGTTAGACCTTTGGATTGCTGAGCGAGCAGGGCACAGCCAAAAACAGCTCAGAAGGACCAGTGGAGCTCAGACAGTGGGACAGACAGTGACAGCAGGCATAAAGGGAACACTGGAGCAGCACTCAAAATGGCCAGTAAAGGTGAGGTTATGGTTTCCTGCTGAACAAATAATTGTTGAGTTAAATTATATGCATTTAGAGATTGTAGGTTAGATAAGAAATATTACTACGTACGGCAGCGATTAACTTATCGGTAATGAAACTCTGGAATTTTCCGTGTATCATTTTACAAGTATCATGTGTCAACTTTTATGTTCATTAAGGTGTGCAGATATATCGTTGTTATTGTTTTCAACTGGCACGACTTTGGAGTGTTTCTTGTTCACACTGAACACTTGGCATCCAAAAGGCATTTCATACTGTAGCATGTGGTCTCGCGATATCATCTGCCAAACTCCAATAAGAGGTTCAATTTTCTACATGTTTTTGTTTTTTTCCAAAGTCCTTTTGTGGTAAGCTTTGAAATTGAGAAATTGTCCGAGTTTTGTTATAAAATGCATTCATATTAATTCCATACACACACATGGCATATATTATTACCAATAATATATGCATTTTATAGTTATATATATATAAAATGATTATGTAAGTCATAGCTTTATCAATGTTGGTTGATTGGATTAAATACTGAACACTGAGTATGTGTCTATAGTAGTCCCTGTTAAATCTTTCAATTGTCTGTTTTGAAAGTGCTGTCAGATTAATGTACCTGTTGACCTTGAATAACAGTCCTAAAGGTCAATCAAGTCTTTAGGATTCATGTTTTACAGGGATCTCTACATAATCTGTATACACCCTTTTTACGCTCTTTTCTTTTATTCATTTCTTATGTTTATGTAACATTTAGTAAATGTGCATAAAAGTACCTATTACAAACTATGATTAAAGCTATCACTAACTATATTTGGAGATTTGTTTGTATTTTGGGATGCCCTAAGTGGACTGCAGTGTCCAGTGGACCACTTCCCTATAAGATTTGACTTCATTGTTCTGAGTACTAGTCACTTCTGTTACTCTGGGGTTTTCATTGTTGTATTGCATATCTCTGGTTCCTATGGCAGCTGTTGAAAAGGCAAAAGGGTGTGGAGAACAGTCTGATGTGTGTCAGCAGGTGCGCTAAAAGGCTCCATTTAAATTCTCTTTGACCGCTTGCTTCCCCCCTTCATCTGGGGCCTAAATTTAGCCCCAGTCTGGGCCTGTGTTCCAGTGATGGAGACTGAAGACTCACTCTCTAACACTCCTCGTCTTACACAGAATTTAGCAGACATGGTTGAGCTGTGCAGACTTAAGACATCAAATAAAATAGACATTCTGATATTGAAGATGTTCTGTTGTTGCAGCAATGGACCTGATCTACTGGAAGGACACTGAGCGCTCGGGCATGGTGCTGACGGGGCTGGTGGTGGGCCTGCTGTCACTGTTTCAGCTCAGCATCATCTCGGTGTTGGCCACTGTCTCCCTTGCCGTCATGTGCTTCACCATCTCTGTGAGACTCTACTACCAAGTCCTCTACATCCTCAACTGGGGAGACGGGGTGCACCCCTTTAAGTAAGCCACTACCTCAGGCTAGAATAAGTGCTAAATGTCATGTTGGAAGTAACTATGATCTTTACCTTTCTCAGGACATACCTGGATCTGGACATCAGCTTGAGTGGCGAGCTGGCAGATAAATTGATGCAAAAAGCTATTGTAACTACTGTGTCAGTTGTGGATGCTCTGAAGAGACTTTTTTTTGTGGGAAATCTTTTTAATTCCCTCAAGGTTTGTACCAATAATACATAACTACAACTGTTTTGTATGCTCAATAGAATGTTTGCTATATCTGTGTTTATGTAATCAGCACACATTACATCATCAGTTCCTCATATCGTATACTAAAGCACTGAATAGATGTGTCCTTACGGCTCTAGTCACTGCATATATCAAAATGATAGATTGCGATATCTTTTAAATCAATGGAGCATGTTATAAACTGTCTTTAGTTTGTGGTCTCCATTAGTGCGGTGGTTGAACCCACTATTTGCTCTGATGGAAATAGATGCATATCATAATGTAATAAGTGGCATCGTTACCACATTGAGGGTGCAAGGCAGTGTGTGTTCTGTGGCCCCTCTCGATCCTTGTGATGTCATCCCTGACCCGGCCGGTATGTCACACGCAGCAGTCTGAGCAGAGCCCTGGAATCTGATGCAGGGGTGTCCCATGTCAGCAGCAGCATCTGTCCCCTCCCAATATAATGTGTGCGCACACATTAGGGTTTCGTTAGAATTACGTTTGTTAAATGTGAAAGCTTTTAATATGAATAATTCCCAGGTGTTTTTTCTTATTTAGTTCCTGTTTCTGCTCTACCTTGTGACATTTGTGGGAAAATTGTTCAACGGCCTTACGCTGCTCATCATAAGTGAGTATTTAAAACAATATGTATTTTTATACAGATACTGCACTCAAGTAGACTCCAATTTTACATGTAGTTTTACATTAAATTAAAAAATACAAATAATTCCTTTTGATTCGTACAGGATTAGCCTCGTACAGCCGCCCACCAAAGCGCTCTAACCATTTGAATTGAAGCCTAACACACACATATTAGCACGCCATATTGAGGTTCTAAAATGGAACATCTGTAACCGTGTAAAAGGACACACGGACTCAAATAATCAAAAAAGTAAACAATAATCTTGTTCCTGTGCTTCTGTGGCAATTACGGGAAGAACCCATTTTGGTGCGGGAAAGATCTCTCATCATCATCTGATTTACAAACTGTATGACTTCAGATGTATGTGCGGTGCAGCCGCAGTATCTGAACAAATGTCTAAATGTTTTTGGATGAACGTATTTAATACATTTAAGTTCCATAACATCTGAAAAGTAAAACAAAGGGCCGCATCTGGGGCATGGTTTGATGAAGGCGACGGCCGTTCATTGCCGCTTGTGGCTTTACTTTAACAGTTATTGTGCCATAGAATCCATGTGACAAATATGAAACTTTTTAGCATACAGGAATCTGTAGCAATACATGCTTCTATTTAGAGAAGTATATCACTTTGCATGGTGCATTTTATAAAAATATACATATTGATGAATACAATGATTTTTTACTGCCTTTTATGTCTCCAAGTAATCATGGTTCTTGTCAATTTTTCAGGTATCATTGCCCTGTTTTCCTTGCCTTTGTTGTATCAAAGACACCAGGTGACCTACCTATTTGTTAATTGTGATATAATTGTACAATTATAAATGCACTAACACATTTTCTGCTGTTGTGCAGGAGCAGGCCGACAAGATCATTGCTAAAGTTCAGGGTCATTATGACAACATTTCAGAGATGTGAGTACAATGTCACCTTCCTTAAATTTCACAAGCAATAATATGTAACATGCTTTTAAAACGCATAAATCCTGACAAGAGCCCTGTCTTCAGTCTGCTGCGACTCGCCCATGGGGGCTCTCCACCCCCTGATCCAACAGCAGATGGCGCTAAACCTAAAACCCAGTAACTACAGTGGACATGGACAGGAGAATCCAGAGAGCTGCAGACAGTCACTCAGAGGTCTTACCGCGGTCTGTGCTTGGAGCTCCAGAAACCTGGACAAGAATGTACGAAAGACGACGAGTCAGGCGGGCTGAGTTATGCCTGAGCCGACATTAGGGTTAGAGGAGGTATTGGAGAACACTTATTATCATCAGAAATAATGGACTGATGGGCTGTTTATTTGAAATTATTTTTGTCTTATAGTCAGCTTTTACCCAAATTGACTAAACAAAGACCAGAATAGGAGGTGTGACTTTCCTTCCTGTTGTTACTGTATACCACCAACAATCAGTAGGACATTTGGAGACCAAGGTTGTCATAATTCTCTAGAATTATCAGGATGCATGGACCTACATGTGCAATATCATCACATTATTTTTAATCTTTATCACTGTTTAGCTCTGTATGCGTGCGTGTGTGGGTGTAATGTATGAATTAAAACCTTTGAAAGGAAGCTATCATCCCCAAACCATAAGACAATTCATTTTTATGCATAAAACTTGATTAATTTTATGCAATCTTAAAATGTGATCCCATTGATAGTTTGTAATGGGAAGTACAATGTCATACTGTAATGTACTGAGTTTCTATGGGTCTTAACATATCTAAGCCAAAGGAAAAACATGATGGAATTAGGGTTAGATGGTGTGGTGTGAGTGTGGTGCAGACGGTGCCTTTTTTACTGTGGGTCTTATTACATGGGTCACATTATCCAACACCACCCTCCAGACTGTGTACTGTCCACCATTTTCTGTCAGTCTACTAGCAGGTATGTTACATAGTAATTACAATGACTCTATGATTATTGCAATGTTCTAGGATATTATAATTCACTTTTTGTGTCTGCTTCTGAAATTATACATTTATGCCTTTATTTATTTTGAACCACCAGTGTATGACATAATGCCATTGTCATTGTTTATTTTCTAATAGTTTTAGATATACGTCATCTGTTTGATTTAGACATAAATACAAAGGACTAAAGCAATAGGGATTCAAGAAGCAAATACATCTTTCCTAGGTCCTTCCCTCTGTTTATGTTTTGGTTTCCAGAAGGTGTAATCAAAGATTCATGTCACATTTATTTTTATTTGTAATTCAATGAAATAATAAAACGTTAAAACAAATATAACATTATACAGCACTACATAGCATTATTATTTTATTCATAAATCCCAATTTAAATGTTAGCCCGAGGAAGTCACAACCTTTCTTTTTTTATCAAAAGAAGAGTAAGGATGACTAAAGTGATCTTTTGACTACTTTTCCTGCAGGGGGCGACAAAGGGCTTAACTTAGGTTCTCCAATACTGTCAATGAATCTGACAGCTGTTCTCAGAGCTGCTCCAAGCCTCCAGCTAAATGACACCACACCAATCACTCGTTTTATTTTTTTCCGTGTGTTACAGCCTGGTTTGAAAGATCTTACATTCTGCGTTACCAAATGGATACGACGGTCTGTGGACGACTGCATCTGCGCGCTTAACTGAGAAATAGCCTACTACCTGTTCAAGTAGCTCAAGTCCACAAACATGTGTCATGGTGAGTTAAAACCGAATAAAGCGGACTCATGCCACGTAATATTTACAGTCTATGGTCTGGACTCGGGAGCGAATATTATGGACGTATATTATTGAGTGTTAAAGGGGGTTGGACTAGGCAAATGCCAGCGCACGGAGGCCCCGCCCTTCAGAGTTGTAAAGAGAGGTTTCTTCTCATACGAGATCAAACTTGAGTGGTGTGTCCCAGGCTGAGGGCCGTCACAGTGCTCATGGAAGTGGCCTGAATGTCGCCTGCGCTCAGCATGGACTTTTACCCCAAGACCATGGCCCCACCGGTGCCCCCGCACAACCCCGGAGCCGCTCACACGGGACAGGCCCAGGAGAGGCTGCTCAAGTGCGTGCTGCTGGGAGACGGAGCCGTAGGAAAGACCAGCCTGGTGGTCAGCTACACCACCAATGGATATCCGACCAAATATGTGCCCACTGCATTTGACGACTTCTCTGGTAAGTCACAGGCTGTGAGTGAGAAGTGTCACCCCAAAACTGTCTATAGTTTTTCTTCAGTCATTGGTTGTCAATGAGTTCAAATATCAACTGTTTGAACACATTCTAAAGGCTTTATGTGAAATGTATTGGGGGGATTGTAGACATACACGTGATTATGCCTCAATAGAAAGAACCGGTTATATTTCCCAAATGCCAACTTGGCCTAATGTTTCTTAACATGATATAGGTCTACATGTGATAATGCTCACATGGGTCATAAACATAGTAAGATGAGATAAACTTAATGCCTAAGCTTATATAGATCTATATTCTTATTTGAATATATTGTAAATATATGGCCTGTTTGATAGGTTTCTCATGACTTTCCACACTATCTTCTTCCTGCACATGAGCAAATATATTCAACTGGCTGTTCAGTTCCAGGCTTCCATGTACCAACATGTTTTGTTTATCCAACCAAAAACAAAGGTGGGGTCTAATCCAATGGGAGTCTGCTGTTACAAAGTAAACAGCTGCATTTTTGTTTTTGAGGTGACATCCATTATGTTAATCATCTGAAATTATACAGATGAGTGGTAAAATGAACTATGACTAACTAAGAAATCTCTCATGAGGCAGAGTTTGGTGAAGGCGGATGCCCTGGAGCTAGGAGCTGGTTTGTCCTCCACACACAAAAGCCAGAGTGTCTTTGGCTCTGGGGTTTTAGATTGCACAAGTCGGCCTATTGTTGTGATGCCTGACCCTGGCCCTCTCCCTCCACAGCAGAGTGACCACATCTGTTGCAATGGCGCTGAGGCTCAGATTGTCTTTCGGGACACTTTGGCACAGAGGGATTTTGGAGGCCCGGCGGTGATGTCACTTTTCTGTGCCTGCAATCAGTGTGCTGTTGAGACATTACACAACACAGCACAGGTAGCAGAGATAGAGAGGACAGAGTCACAGAAAAAAATTGAGAGGAAATTATCTTTGTTACAGGCAGAACTTAAGCAGAATGAATAGAAAACATAGACACAAACCAAAGGACTTTTCTTTATAAGTCTGCAGCGATTTTACCCAGAAATGATCACAAATTATCAATGAAGATTATCTTTGCTGCTTAAACCCCAGCAAGCACAATGTGTCTGACGAGAGAAATCGGTCGAGCTAGAAGAGATTAAGTTGCTGCTGAGAAGAAGAGAATAATAAACTGAATGGTAGTTGGGATTTGAGCAGGTGGCTATGGCATGAAGACAAGGCTGAGAACTGACTGAACTGTTTAAGTTTTTATTCAATCTGCATCAAAAAATAAGTAGAGCGCCCAACATTTGAATTAAAAATGCAAGTTACAAAAGCTGCAAAATGAAAAGCCCTTGAGCTTTCACTGCATGACTGCCTGTTCTAAAAAAGAAAAAGAAAAAACAGTTTTGATCAGGTGCTATGACAGACCACACACTCCACGTCTTCAAAGTAAATGTTTCCATGTGCTGCCTTATTGTCTTCACCCTTTCCAAAAGAGAGCTCTAGAAACAAAAGAGTGACTCCCCCGGGCTCCACTTGTTTCTTTTACACAACACTTCAAAAGAGTATTCTGCGATACAGATTTTATATACATGTAATTCATGTACTCCTATTGTGTTGTTTTTCTACAGCTGTGGTTCAAGTGGATGGACAACCAGTCAGGCTGCAACTGTGTGACACTGCTGGACAGGTGAGTGCATAAGATATAATGCATGCGTAAGATAGAAAGTCAGGAAAAGAGCTTTATTAGTTATGTTAAGCACTACTGTATCACTATAATTATGTTTTTATCTTTTAACTCTATCCTATGTTTGTATGATTGTATGATTGCGAGCAAGGGACCAATGCACAATTTACTTTTTAGATCAAAGTATCTATCTATCTATCTATATATCTATCATCACAATTTAGAAGAATGTTCGGTTGAAACAGAATAGAAAAAGAAAAGCACCAAAAAAGTGAGATAAAATTCTAGACGCCTTATCATTTGAAAGTAATTCTAATTATGAGACAAAAAAAATCCTTTGTTTTGTCTAGTGTTTTATTGTATTCTTTGTTTTCTTTAGTGTCTTTGTCCCTTTTGTCCTTGCATTGTGTTTTGTAGTTATGCTTATATTTCTGTTGCTTGTCTGTCTTGATTTGTACTTGCCTTAAATAATGATAATAAAATACCCCCAAGAAGTCAGGTAAAGGAATAGTTCTCAATGCTATAGAATTGATTTTTATACAGCTCCTTCACAGATTTAGTAAAGAGTAAAACTCTATCTTCCCAGTCCAAATTTCAAACCCAGATCTGAACCTTAGGACACACGTCTCTGTGCATTGGACCCACCTCGCTTCCACCAACAGTGAATACATAAGAAATGTTAATAATATGCATTACATTTACATGAAATTAAATTAATAGAGTTGACTTTAATTTAGATATAAAAAAAACTACTATAGCACTTTTTGTTTTGAACTACAAACGTGAAATGTTTAGATTCCTCTGATGAATAAGCAAGATAAAAAGAGTGCGCTGGTAAAGAGCCAAAGTTACTAATCTCTTCAATCTATCTCAGAGGGAACATGTTGTGCAACTATGTGTTTTTTCTGCGAGGCGAGGGCAGTTGTTTCTTCATCAAACTCACTAAAAGTTGGAGCCCTGAGGCGGCCTATTAGCAGTTGCTTTAAAGTGGGCACGGCTAGTTCTTTTTGGGATCTGAACCGGGATGAAAAACAAAAAGAACACTGCAGTGACACAATTCCATAATCGTAATTTTGGCCTAAAGACAATCTGAGCCGTGTTAGCGATGGAAGGCCATAAACAAAACGACAGCTCAGATGTTGGGAGTTTTGTGTGTTCCACTGCTCTTCTGCGTCACGTCTTGTTGCTCTGCCAAAGCATCTGCCAAAGCTGAAATAACACCAGCCTTTTTGTTAGTCTTTGTAATTACAACCTGCTTCTCCACATTTGTTGGCAAGATTAGGTCAGGGATTATAGGACCCTCTGTAGCCGTGTGCACCAGGATTAATGCTGCGTTTCAGGCGACTGGGAAGTGGGGTATTTCCCAGTCGAAAATGACCAGTTCCCACTCCACAGCGTTCCTGCAAATGAACTAATAGAGCAGCACAATTTTGGCAAAATAGATATTTCCTGTTTTAAAATGCATATATGTCAAGTAGTTTTCGAGACAATCTGTGAATTTATCCAATTTATCTACAAATCCATTAAAAAGTAAAAAACATGCAAACAGCATTAAACCACAGATTTTTTTAATGGTAAGTTTACTTTTCTATGTCAATCAGCAGTAGTCAAAATGAGGTTGAGCAAAACTTTGTCCATGAGCACTTCCCTATGTTATCATTATTGCTGTTATTTAACCAAGAAAGTCCTATGAGGTTTCACAATGTCTGTTTCTTCTCCTGTGTTCCTCATCATCTTCCTCTCGTCTCCACTAGGATGAATTTGACAAACTGCGACACTTCTGCTACAGCCGCACCGATGCCTTGCTCCTGTGCTTCAGCGTGGTCAGCCCCGCCTCCTTCCAGAACGTCTGGGAGAAGTGGGTGCCCGAGATCCGCCGCAGATGCCCCCTCGCCCCCGTGCTCCTGGTGGGCACCCAATGCGACCTGCGGCAGGATGTGAAGGTGCTGATCGAGCTGTCCCGCCGCAGGGAGAGGCCCGTGGAGGAGGAGGACGCCCGGGCGCTGGCGGATAAAATAGGAGCCGTGATGTACGTGGAGTGCTCGGCTCTCACCCAAAAGAATCTTAAGGAGGTGTTTGATGCAGCCATAGCGGTGGGGCTACGGCAGTCTGACAGGAGGGCGCGGCGAGAGAGGAAAGTGCGCAGTACGGCTGATAAGATGAAGATGCTCTCGAAATCCTGGTGGAAGAAATATGTGTGTGTCCAGTGACAAAGGAACTGACTGTTTGGGTCTAACTGGCCGTGCTCGTTTCTTTGGACTTGGACTTGCAGGACTCAGGAGAATTTGCCTTAAATCTTTAATGGATTATCACCTCAGAATGGGAGGGGCTTGTGCCGGTTGGACACCGTTGCCAGGTTTATCGTGCAGAGCGATAAAAAGCTGCAGCCATCAACAACTCCCTTAAGCCAACATGAACTGTGAACTGAACTTTTCCGATTCGTGGACTGCATATTACACCAGACTTATCCAAAGGAAATGTGAGCAAGTGTGGAATCACATAATCGATGGCTTCCATGTGCTAAAATGTTCTGTCTTATGTCACAATTTTGTTTCTTCCACTTTTAGACTTTTAGGTTTAAAATCTAAGCTTCTTGTGCACTTTTGCATCAAATTTTGTTTGACATACTAAGACAATATGTAACACGCTTTTTACCAAAGCCTGCATGTGCCCTAATTGTGCATGCAATAACAACAACATCATAGCTTATTGTTCTGCTGAGCTCTTAAAATAAAACAGAGTTCTCATTTTCTACTAACGTTGATCCATAATCTAAAAGTATTCAAGCAATAAGTGAGCTCTAGTGTGTGGTACTTTGCACTTACCATCGAGTCTCATTCATTCTTTTCCCGTTGTTACTTCAGGAGAATGAGCGATTTGTTCATTTGTATGATTCAAAGAAGCTGTTGAAACACGTGCCTGCTGCAGCAGACCATACAGGGTCTAACTTTGTCTAAAATTGTAATTATGCATTTCTGTGTTGGTCTGTCCTCGCCTGAAATGACACATCACCAAAAGAGGCCAACTCTTTGTTTGCTTCTTATTTTTCAGAAGCCTTTAATTCAGCTCTGTTTATTTATCCATATCGTGAGGGCCAAAGGGTGATCATCAGCGGCACAGAGCTGGAGTTTCACTTTGTTATGTATGTTACATAGTAATCACATCTGTGTTCATGTCGTTATGAGTCAATCAATGGCTGTTCTCAATGGTACCTAACTGTGAGAGTTTAAGCTGTTTGGGTTGTACGGATGAAACAATAAAATAAAAAGTATTTAAGAGGATTTTTTTCTGGCTGTCTTCTTTGCATTAACAGTGCGACAATGTTTGTATCGGTCCCATGTCAAAAGTTAAGAAACCAAACTGCAGACTCATTTACCTTGTGACATTAGAGTTAGGATGTTGTGCCAAATATGAAAATATGCACTGAGCTGAGCAGCCCCCATGATCCAGAATAATAAGTGTGAATTATTCATGATCGTGTTTAATATATTTTTATTTATAATCTATATTCCATCATTACGTCTGTGTGCTTCAATCACAGTATATCACTAAACTGTGATAATTGGCAATGACTTATCAGAAATCGTTAACTGAGGAAAATGACATAGTAAAGAAAGAGTGAGTTGTCTGTCAGACAGTCGGAGAAGAATGACGTGTCCTTCAAGTATCTCAGCCTTTCATGGCTTCAATTTCGAGCATTATTTGAGAAGAAAGTTGATTGTTATGTCTGGGTTTGCATTCGTCTTGAAAGAAGCTTTAATTGCAGTCAGTTTCTTGACTGTGGTTTCCGTCTGTTTCAACATAATACTTAACCTGTCTGCTCCGAGCAGAGGTTAGTTGGTGAGTATAGGACAGAAGCTCCAAATGTGGTGGACTCTAAATTGTCTGATATGACGAGAGAAAATTGTTTGTGGTGTGCGTTCAGTCTCGTTTATACTTCTTTATTTAATTCAGCAATACACAAACACTTTCCCCTCATTTATCAGCCTCCTTCAGCTGGATAGGATCATGATATAATAAAGTAACAGCATAATAGTAAAAATATAATCTAAAAATCTTAACCAAAAAGTTACGACAACATGCAAGAAGGTCCGGAATTCAACTTCCAGTCGGGACAGGACGTCTTTAGATAGAGTTTGCATGTTCTCCTCATTTTCTGCATAGGTTTCCTCTGGGTGCTTTGGTTTCCCCTGAAACATGTACAATGAGACTACAGATGAACTCGCCTTGAGCTAATTCCTATCGACCTCAGTAGCTGTTCATACACACTGTGCCATTCAAATACAAATATATACATAAAAGTACAATGTAAATCTTTTGCAATGTTTCCTCACAATAAATACAGAATTTAGATCTTCACTCCAACAATCAATAGGTTATATTTTGTACAAAGACCTGTTAAAACTACATGGCTCCCACAAGTATGTCAAAAATGTTTGATGACGTAAAAAATATTGAAAATCCTTAGAGTGTGTTGGTGTGGAGTGGGTGGCCCCGAATAGGATTAGCTAAACCATGTGTAAAAACTCAGTTACTCAGCCAGTCGCCCGGAAACTTACTTTTATGTAACTTCTATACAAATCAATTAGGTAACAAGCCAACCGTGACTCCGCATGAAAGGGCATATATGTAATTATGTGAAGTGGGGGAGTTTTGTAACCAGCACAATGATAATTACCACTATAACGATGACCTCTCAGCATGTGAATGTCAGTGTTTGAAGCTGCTCTGAGCGCTGGGATTGGAAAAAGACCCAATCAGTTCACCCAGGTCCACTTTGTACATTGTCTTAAGGATTAACTGCTCCTCAAGCTTGTAATGCGATGCAATATGTCTGGGACCTGATTAAAATACACAGCAAGTGCCAACTGTCTGCTCACAACTAATCTAATCTCATTTTTGATTGTATGAATGAACCCTTTTTCTTTCACCAAACATATGCTTTTCTCTGTGTCAATCTCTGTATAATATCTCACGTCCAGGACTCAATGGGACTTTCCTGGATAAATAAAGGTAAAAACAAATACAAAAACCAACTTCACTTGAGAAATGAGTGGTTTTTTTCTTCCCATTTCTTCTGGAACCGGATCTCAACATTCTCTGACCTATGTTTTGGACTGATAGTAGTGAGAATCGCCATGGTTTGGTTATAAAACTGGAAGTTGCTCTGAGATGTGCATGCAGACGATAAAACAGCTCTTCGAACAGGTCTGGGCAGGAGTATTTTGTCTGGGTTTGTGGGAAGAAAGAAAATGCTGTTCCTTAATCCTTTGATCAAAATCTTTAATTCACTTTTGACTTATTATCTCTTGTCTTCAAAGTCATGTAACCTATAAAAAAAGACTAAACAAGTTAAGTAAGCTGTCCAACAATAGATGTCTTTATGTTTCCACCAAACTGCAGTCTGGTCGCTACAGTGCGGCGTTAGTGGGATAATGTTGTAATAAGCTTATTCCAACCCCCCGTGGTGCGCGCTCGTTATGAGAAGCTAATTGAGTCACTGTGTCTCAGGGTCAGCGGCTCTTTGTGTTTTGTTGTGAAGAGCCAAAACATCTGCCCTACAGTCTGTGGAACATGTGTGCGCCCCGGGACAACATTTGGACCCAATCGTCCTTGTGGGAAACGTACAGTGCTCGGAGTGAGGTGAAGGTGTTTCAAATGAGGGGCTGTAAAAAGAACTGTCTTTGCAATTAAGCTGTGGTTTCATACAGTCGGACACCTGTCTAATTAGCCTTGGAACGCCGGCGCAACCTCAAAGTGCGGTTTGGTTTATGTAGAGAAAGGCTGTAAAAGTCTTCACTGTAGAAGGATCCTCAGTGTGTATTTTATAGTGTAAAAATAGTATAGTGGAAATGTTTTTTCTGCTACAATGTGGCATATATATAAGTATAGGTTCATGAATGTCCACTGTCCCTTCTAAATAAGTAGAAAATAAATGGGGAGAACATGCAAACTCCACTCAGAAAGACTCTGTTCCAACTGGGATTTGAACTTAGGTCCTTCTTGCTGTGAAGAAAACGTGCCATCCACTCAGCCACCGTATATCACTATGAAATCAGCTGTTTTAAAGTTTTAGTACCTTACTTTTTTATCTTTTATGAATACATTTTGTTTGTCCAAAGAAAGTATTGTTTAATATTTTGTGGACAAACCAGACCATAACATCCTAAATATAATTCCCACCATAAAACTGCAGGTAAACATTAACTTTGCATCGTTTGAATATAAGCATTGATAACGGGCAGCAAAATTATAACTCAACTTTACTTTTAAAATTAGACTACATAAAACAAGGTCATTGGACGAATTCAGAAAGTGATCTCACTGTGAAACTGGGTGCGACTCGAGGGACTGATTCAATAAGATTTAGGTTTCTAGAGGATCATGTTTTCCTGGTTTGAAACTGTAAATGTGATGTCACTATAGCTGCGTCTGATTGGCTCATGCTCCGGCCCTTATGTGCAGTCTTATCTGATTGGCCGTTGCTTATGAAGAAATAGCTCATGGATTTGATGACCTTTTTCTGTGGTAAACATGTTTCTCAGCCTCTGCTCTTTTTATCAGTTTGTTTTGTTGGCAGTCTTTGATCCTTTGTGTGAGAGATAAGACTTTCTGGTGTGTGTTGCTGCCTGTCATTCACAATGTTTGGACATGAATCCAATAGCCTTCAGTTTAACTCAGCCAAAGATAAGATTTATGGATCCCAGTTTAGCGTGATTGTTTGGATTTGTTCAACAAAAGAGCTACGGCTATGCAAAAAAAATTACAAGATTTTAAATTAAATTAAATGGATTATGTTTTGTATTAATCATTTACAATTATTAACTAAAATGGAACATTGTCCTCTGCAGTATTGACATCATGTTTTGGTGGTGGGGGAAACTGGAGCGCCTGGAGAAAACTCTCCAGAGTTGTCGAACCCAGGGTTCTTGAGGCACGAGCACTTTCTACTCAGCCACCGTGGCACCAGTCAGCTCACCATTGAACTGATGGTCCTCATCCTAAACTCGAAAAGTTTTTCTTCAAAAAACAAACTTTTTTATTTAAACATTATGAACTGCATTTGCTTTTCTTGTTCACAAAATAATAATTCTCTCTCTCCTTTTAGAATCTATCTTTGGAATGTATGTTCATAGCAGGAGATTCAATACCCACCACTGTGATGTAATGGACTGAACTAACCCTCAATAGTTTATAGTTACTGATTAAACATGGCTCTGCTGCATAAGCACAGTTTTATTAGTTCATAAAACCCTTATGGAAACATGCCATAAAATTGTATTTCTATTTTGAAGTTCGAACACACTGTTCTCAAACCAGGTCACTGCAGCCATAATCTGTGGGGTATTTTCCACTGATTTGACTCTGATCTCTTTCACAGCGGTTGACTCTGGCTGCGAGGCCTGTGGAGACGCAGCGTGTGGACAGGATGAATTGTTGTCAGAGAATGAAGAGCTCTGGATTGCAGCCGTTAGCGTGTTGTGGATTATGTAAGGCACTTCTGCCTTCCTGTATCCTCTGCTCACGCCACACTGTGCAGTGAACTCTTATCTTCAACAGATAACACCTGCTCCAGAACTCTTCTGCACACAGGGCGTTTCCACTGCAAAGAACACGATTCACCTTGTACTAGTTGAAGATTGTGAATTTGGCTTTATTTCAGGGCTTTCTGTGTTGTTTGACTTATTGTCTCTGATGGATTACAAATGTCCGTGCCTATCTGGAGCATTGGTTTTGTTGGAGCAGTGAGTTCACATGGAGGCTGTGTTTGTTCACTGAAGCCAAAAGCAGAGCTGCTTTTGGTGATTGATTACCCACCATCACACACTGAGGGAAGCTAACTATTCATGGCTTTGTCTGAATGTGTGCTCTGTCCGCTGCAGGTAAGAGGACTCTGGAGACCGATCACATGACGTCAAACTCTAGCTGTCCTGTTGATCATCATTATCCAGGGGAAATCACTGCTTCCATTTTTAGTGCTTAATTGCGGAAGCCATTATTGTGGGGCACAAAGACCCACTGCCCTAACTAGAGCTAAACTACCCACACTGACCTGGCGACCTCAGCCTCCAACGAGCTTTGAAACCTGAGAAAGCTGCACTGACCCTTGCCCCCAGAGCCTCCACCTCCCACGCTAGAGCAGCCCAGTGTCACCCCCTCGGACAGGATGTGACCTGTGCAGACTGCTCCATAGGGGGCCCTGACCCGAGACACTGTCCAGACTATATGTCGGCCCCAAGCCTGACGTGAGAGTGACAGTGTGATAGCGAGAGCTGCCAACAAGATACTTCATGTTCAGATAAGTGCTCAAAGAGTCGGTATCATGAACAAAACACAGAGGAACAGCCACAGAACACTCTGTCACTGTTGGCTTCAGTGACAGCTATTTCTGCACACTTTACAATCTAGTGGCACTTGATAAGATATCGGTCAGGACTAAACGTGTCGTATTTGATTGTAAAAGCACTAAATTGAAAGTGGTATTTGCTTTGTAGCTCCGCCATAGACACACACATTAAGGAGCAATGAAAGCTGTAAAAGTTATAAACAAAAATTAATGACAGAAAGACGCTATCTTTCTCGGTGGGTGAGCCCAGTTTGCGCTTTAGTATAAAACACCCAACAACAGCAAAACGTCTATTTTAAGACATAACAGTAGGACAAAGATGAGATTTCGTGACACTGTCATCGTTGCCTTCATTCCGGGACAGCAGGAATAAAAACAAACAACATAAACACTTTTTCCTTATACCTCTACGTGGAAAGTAGCATCCTGGCTGCTCCATTCTGGCTTTGATGTCTACGGTTAAGGTGTTTTTGTCTTGTTTCTTTTTGGACGTTGTTTTTCTTTGTCTGCCTGCAGAGCGTCAGCCAACAATACGTCAAGAGGGTAGTTGTTAAGAAGACGAAAAGGTTTTGAATGTGTGGGGTACGAGCCAGTGACGTCTGTTGTGTGTCGGTACAAAGCTGCTTTCACCACCGCCGCCACAGCAGAACAAAAGGCTGCTGCAGGATTTGACTAAGTCCAAATAGTTACACTTAAATGGTGAGACGCTTTGTTCTGGAAAAGACTAAATAAAACCACGTCAGACTTTGAAGGGACTGTTAGGGGACACACATGCTACTGATGTCGATTAATCATTTCAAGAAAGTGCTGGGGTTTAGAGACAAAACCAGCTGGATTTCAATATTCAAATTGGCAAACCAAATGAGAGACTTGTGTGAGGCTCATTCTGCTTTGTAATTGGAAAATCATCATCCATCAATCAATACACAAACAACACAAATCAACATCAACACCTGGAGCAGTGCTGTGGACCGGCTGAAATATTTCTGGACTTTTCTTTTATAAACTGTGTATTTATCTAATTTATTTTGTGTCGTGGACCTGCATGCATGTGTGAGTGTTCATCTGTATGTTTATTTTGTTTTTGACAATAGCAATTAACAATATTGCCTCAAGTGTTCAAAGTTATGAAGATGAATATGAATTATGAAGTATATAAGAACAGTCTTTGAACATGTAATGAAGTCCCCAAGTTATTTGTTTAGTTTCTTATTTGTTTTTCTTCTTTATTGATATTATCCTATTTTTCTCTGTCATTCACCGGTTTTGCAACATTTTTTGGATTTTTTTCTCCCTATCATTGAAAAATAAAACATTATAAAAAAGAATAGTAAAGTGGTCCAAAATATCCTTTTTATCGTTTATATAGTGTGTGTGTGTGTGTGTGTGTGTGTGTGTGTGTGTGTGTGTGTTTTGTTGTTGTGTATTTTAGTGTGTGTTTTATGTTTAATGGAACACTATGTTGCTGGTGCTATGAGACTTGGGTGGCATCTCTGACTGCCACCCCCCTGACCCAGAAATGGATTAAAGGGTAGAAAATGGATGGATGGATGGATGGATGGAACACTATGTTCAAATCTGGCCAAAAGTGGTACTACATTCTCTCCCAATCTCCCTGACTCAGGTTGCCAGATATGCAGACGAATCCAGCCAGAACTATAATATCTGAATAGACAAGACTTTCGTCAACAACAAATCCATAAACAATACCTGTTTCACAAAGATAGAAATCCTGGTTTTATTCCTTGTTTTGTCATTAATGATTTCAGAATCAAAACGAGACCTTTTTTAGTTCTGCGGCCACATGTTACTTTACCAGTGAGATTAGCTCAACGCGGTGAGTTCTGGCAACCCGGATCACGGACTTTCGGATTGGTGAAACGGTGGAGGGCGGGACAACAAGATTTAGGGTCTGTAAAACTAATTTTGAAATTCCAATATCTCGGCTGAACTACTGTTATCAGTTAAAGTATTGGAAAAGAGCATGTTTTATTAATGCCTTTTGACAGATTGGGCCATTTAATGAGGACTTGACATGAAAATCTTATATATTGCTACTTCAATTTTGAATATTGACGTGCGGCTGGGAAGACCATTGATAGTTTATTACTTGTGGAGCAACATGAGAAGTATAGATGCACAGATTACCCATGGTGCACTCTCCTAATTGCTCTCATTACTGTGTATTTCTTGGGTGAATGTGGACCGCGCTGACCTTGGCCTTTGAAATGTTAGAGCTTGGCGTCCGAGTGCTGCGAGCCGTGGAGGAGGAACAAGCCCTCTCCTTCACGCTGAGTATGAATGTGTTTCTGTGTAGTGCTTCAGTGGGAGTTCAGTGGATTGAAAATGGACTGTGGGACGTGGAGACACACTGACACACAAACCCACGGGGCTGTTGATCGTTTCATGGCTCATCTGTAACTCCAACCGGCTGTAAATTACTCCTGATTTTACAGCGTCATAGTTTATTGTCCTTTTCGGAAATTCTCAGCCTTCTTACATAACCAAACTTTAATTATGTCCATGGGCGCAAAGGTATCTCATAACCCACTAAAACAAAGAATCAAACACACTTTAGTCAAACGCACAATATTCTGTACAAGTTTGTGCAAGTGACTTTATAATCCAAAAGTTGCACTACACGTTGTGTACCTTTTCAAACTGGGTACAGTACAGACACTAGAATACTGGCTACAGAGTTAGGGCTATTAAAACGGTGTGTCTCCCTGTTACAATTCTTGAGAGAATGATTTCCCACGTCAAAAGTTATATCCCTCAGCTAGGGATGGGTTGATATGCTTTTATCTTCAGTCTATCACTTTATCTTTGCTCTGCTGTTCTGGCTGATAAGTGGGATTTGCCCCTACTGAAATTAAGATGCAACTAAAAGCAAAGGATTAAAAACAAAAATGTCTATATCTATTCTTTCACTGTATAACTGCATTATTCAAAATAATTGATAATATAGACCTGTCGCCTTTCTCATACGTCACATTTCTGCATTACAGGATTGACATAATGTCAGTTCTGAATATTGACCAGTTCTTTTTAAAACATCGGACCAATACCGAGGATGTTATGCCCCTTTTTATATAGTGCCTTTCACAGACCAAAGTCACAAACGCTTTAAAATGTATGTGAGCATTTGTCTCTCACTCCACACAGAGATGGGAGCAGGGTCGCAAGTACAGGAGGCGCATGTCAGACCTGTTGTACATGTTTTTAGTGGTAGGGGAAACCGGAGCACCCGGAGACAAAACATGAGTATTAGAATTGTACGTTGTTTGATAAGTAACCTGACACTACATAAACTGCACATATGACACTGAGGACAATATTTTCAAGATTACATTTCTTGTGCTGTACAGAACGTGGTTAGGATTTGGCGCTCAGACCCCGGCAGAGCACTGCATGATTGCAGAAGGAGAAAGAGATTATGAGATTAAATCTCCCGGGGCCTAGACCCTGGTGGTGGTAGCTAGGAGAAGGATGAAGGAGCTGACCTAGAACAGTGCAAACATGGGGAGGAGGAGGTGAATGAAGCTGCTGCTTGGATGGAACTTCTGCGCGAAATGAAGCTGATGCGGGCAGTGTCTGATGGCTGCCAGGGAATAGTTTAAAAAGTAAAAGAGTAAAAAAAAAAGAAAAGAAAATGTGGTTCCGTGCCTCATCCTCAACAGCCATTCCAATCTCTCCTGTCTGCGAGAGCCACAGCGCCTCAGCTTCACGGGTCACCAAGCCTTCACCATACATCAACATTTTAGCTTCTGCTTATTCCTCTATAAAAGTCGTCTATGTTAAAAAATAAAATTAGAAATCCTTGATAATGACAATTCCCTAGAAGGGTCACACTGCTGTTGTGAGCCTTATATTTTGAAGTTCAGGTCTTCTCTTTGCTGAAAAGCCGACACTGGTCTACACAACATTATGCTGGTGTCGTCCCAGGTCAACAAACCATTTCAACACATGTAAAAACATGGGCCTGCAGTGGGAAAAAAATGGGAAATAAAGATACTAATAATAATGCATTGGTTTTATATAATGCTTTTATGGACACTTAAAGACGCTTCTTCATTCACTCCATACAGTGGGGATAAACTACTGTAGCCACAGCTGCCCTGGGGCACACTGACAGAAGCAAAGCAACCAGTATGTGCCATCTGCCCCTCCGACCACCACCAACCATTCACACACACACCAGACTCATTCTTGGCAATGTGGGTGAAGTGTCTTGCCTAAGGACACAACGGCAGTTTGGCACTTTACAGTCACAGCCGCCCCACTGTGGCACCTGCTGTTCCCAGAGGTCTCCCATCGCAATATACCTACTGTGAATGTTTCGATCAGACAGCAATCAAAGTTGCAATCAACTTTATAACAACACGAGGTCTGAATAAAAGATGAGTGTATATTTTTTGAAACCCTCATCTACTCAGTGTCTACCCAGAGACTACCATCTGAAAACATCCCAGACTAGATCTAAACATAGAAGGACACTAGACGGTGCGTTCCTATCTCATCACATTACATACCAACATGTCTGGCAGATGTCTTCACTAAGTGTACACACATCTCTATTTGTTTTAAGGCCAACCTATTTATTAAAAGCAGCTGTTGTGTCATGCTTCAGGTGGAAACTCTTGTGTTTGAACAGGGCAGTCATCAGGATGTGTCTCTTCCTCTAAATGGAAACTAATGTGTGACTGTTCTGTTCCAAAATGGATTATGATGTTACTGTATGTGCAGTTAAGTCAATAATGACTATGTTTGTAATAGTCAGGTGTGCTGTTGAAAGATGAGGTATTGTGGTGAGCAGTATACATACTGTAGGTATATCTAGCAACCGAGTTACTATAGAGATTATCACAACATTTAGAGGAGTAGATTTATGGAACAAACTCGA